AAATATGATCATAGCCACTTATTTTTTCCTCCAACTCCCCTCATATCTCCCAACATGCTCCCCTCCCAACTTCATATCTGTTTTTTTAAATTTATTCAGCAAATATTTGTTAAGCACCTACTAGGCCAAACATTGCTCCAACCACTCGCAATTTATTTTTTAACATAACAGCATGTCTTTTTTTTTTAACCCACTAAGTCCAATTAGCATTGCACATACATGCATGGGTATGGGGCTATCCACTGGACCATGGGAAACCTACTAGTGGGAACAGCTTCAAAATAGAATGATTCTCCCTTCCCAACAGCTATCAGCCACCAATAGCTCCAAAGTAAGGGGTGAGGGCTGAGAGCACCTCTCCCAGCTATGCCAGAATTTTAGCCGGCTGACACTATAGTAAATGCTGTTACTTTTTTATCTTAAAACCAAGATGCATCCTGGTATGATGGGTAGGAGGGCAGGATTCTGGAGTCAGACTGCTTGAATATGAATCCCCCGGCTCTGCCCTTAATTAGCTGTGTGTGGCCTGAAAAATGCATGCGACTTCTCTTAGCTCTGTTTCTCCATTTGAAAAATGAAGACTGTAATTGTTTCTACTTCATAGAAGTGAATGAGTTATGCTACGAATGCTGAGACCCATATCTGCCACATGGTAAGCGTGCTAGAAGTGTAAGTCATATTTTTACGTCTTTCAATCTTGAATGTCAGAAGGTCATTAATGCTCTCCCCCTGCATTCTATGCGTTTTATCTGAAGTTCTCGTTTTACTTTAACATTTGCTCAAGTTCTACACCCATTCTGAGTTTGAAAGAAACAAGAAGGCTGAGGTCTGGCAAGGTAAAACCTCGCCTACAGTGCATAAGGGCTTGGGTTTAATTTCCAACAAGTATAAAAGGAAAAAGAAGGAAACCAAGGCTTGGTTAATGGGTTTTCATGGCCTTAGTAATAATCTCCACATTTACAAAAGTAGTAAGCTACAGTAATCAAAAAGAGGTGATTAATAAGAGCGGATGCTCCTTTACAGACTGTGATACATCTAATACAGCTGTGTGCAAAATCCTAAAGGCAAGCGTTACTGTGACTACCTAATTCAGAACTAGTCTCTCTGTTTCAGGGAAATCACTAAAATGAAAACAAATATATACTGCTCACAGGAAGTTAAATTCCATTCTTCCAACTCAGAAAGTGGCACATCTTTTTTGTCTTTTATCTTCCTGTTTAACTATAGAACAAGGGATACAATTATGCTGGATGCTCCAAGCACATTCTAGATGATGGTTTCCAGCACATGAATTCAGGCTTCTGAGGGCAGGAGAAAGCCAGGACAACCACGGGGAGACAGCTGCTGGCAGCATTCTCTGCTTCCTCTGCTTTGGCCCTGGCCCTGTACTGGGCAACTCTGCTTGCAGGAAGCCACAGAAATTTGAATGCAGTGGGGGACATTGTTCAGACTGTGAAAGTCTGCTCATTCCTTGTTGAGGTTGGCTTGTACAGGAACAGAACTCTTAGCAAATACAGTTTTTAACATGTCAGATTTCAATATTTTATTAATAGGAAGAACAGTAGTTTACCCTACAAATTTTAAAAGATTATAAGTAGAAAGGTAAAAAATATGAAGATGTGCTGAAAGTCCTAATGACCACATTTCAATGAGGTCTTAGTTTTGTAATTTGATCTGTTTTAAAAATGAATCGACACACATGCAAGGGTATAAAATACTTTCTTTTCCATTTTCAACACTGCAAAGCATCACTGTTTATACACTAAGGACTGATCAGAAACAGAACAAACTGCTGCTACTGAAATGATTCTTAAAAGTTAATTCCTTGCTTTTAAAGAAAATTCGTAAAACCCATGGGTCAAAACAGCAAAGGCCCCACTAAGACTGCAATCTTAGGAGCAGCCTGTAGTCCTGCCTCTGCTATCGTTGACTATGAGGTCTTGAGCAAGCTGCAGAGCCTTGAGCAACTACGTCTGCTTCATTTTCCTCTTCTGTTCTACTTTCATGTCTGTAACTAGGATAAAATAGCTCAACTTAGGGGAGGAAAGTGTTTATTTAGCTTTGATTTCCAGGTAACAGTCCATCACTTGGGGGAAGGCAAAGCAAGAACTCCAGCAGTTCACCATGTCACATCCACAGTCAAGAGCAAAGACAGTATCTGATCCTCGCTTGCTTGATCACGCTCAGCTGCTTTCTTTACTCTTAGACAGTTCAGAGCCCAGCCCTTGAAGTGGTGCCACCCACACTGGGCTGGGTCCTCCTACATCAACTAACAATCAAAACAAACCCCCACAGACATGCCCACAGGCCAAAGAGATGCAGACAGCCCCCATTGAGACTCTCTTCCCAGGTGAGTCTAGGTGTGTCAAGTTGGCAACTAAAGCTAAGAGATCTTCTGTAAGAGACCACTGGAGTCTCCTAAGGTTTTGTGAGGATTTTATGACAACACAACATCTGGAACATAGTAGTCAACGAGTAATGAATTTTAATATTATATTAATATTAGGTATAGTCTTATTCATCCACTATTCTGAAGTTATTCCTGCCAAGCTCCTTAACATAATTCTTGTACCCAATGTACAAAATGCTACAAAAGGGGGAAAGAGAACTGTATGAACAGAAATATACAATTCAGGGGCTGGAGATATGATTCAGTGGTTAAGAGCACTTGCTGCTTTTGCAGAGGATCCCAGATTTGATTCCCAACACTCACATGGTGACTAACATCTGGCTACAACTCCAGTTCCTGGAGATCCAGTGCCCTCTTTTGGTCACTGAGGGCACTGAATGACACAGGTACACTTACATACATGCAGGCAAACATTCACACACATAAAGTAAATATAATACATTTAGAAATGAAAATATATATTTCATATTCTTTCCTGAAGATTAGGAAACATTTTATTTCACTAATTAGGAACCTCTTGGTAAGATTAGAACACATACTCCATTCCAGTGAGTGTGTAGCGGGTTCTTAGCACAAGAATGGAACACAAATGAGGGGCATCAGCACCAAGAAAGCTCCAGTTGGCCACAGGCATCCCCATACCTAGCCCAAGCTGGTCTCCTCCTGGAAATGCTCCAAGTTCAGCTTTCCTTCCTACTTTTCTTTCTTAGGATCTCAGAGATGATAATGATTGAGATGACATGACAGCTAACATTCATTCAACGTTTATTCTGAGCCAAGCATTACAAGCACTCTGTACTTCCTCATTTAATCCCCCTCACAATCTGGGAGGCAGGCACTATGGGCAGATACTATGACTATTCCCATATGATATAAAAGAAATAAAAGTTAGCTGGGTTTGGTGGTGCACACCTAACAATTGGGAAATTTAGGCAGGAGATTCCTTTGAGTTCAAAGTCAGCTTCGGTTACAAGGTAAATCCTGGGGATAGGGAGGGAGAGAGGGAAGGGACAGAGAGGTTAAAGTTAATAAAGGTTAAGCACATTCAGTATCTCACAGTTGGCAGCAAAGAGCCAATTTGCAAGGAAATCTATTCTTGTTTTCTGTTTTGTTTGAGTGGTTGATTGTTTTGTTTCTGTTTTGCAAGGTCTCCTTATGTAGCCTAGGCTGGCTTTGGAATCTGCAATCCTCTGGTCTCAGTTCCTTAAGGGCTGGAATTACAGGCATAGACCACCATCTTTAGCTCAAGGCCTTAATTCTTAGCCCTTGGGTTATGCCAACCCCCAGTCCTAACAAGACAGCTACCAGTGTTTATAGGGTTGTGGTCACTCATTTCAGATCAACACCACCCAACTTCACTCTAACATCTTTCTGCCTTCATTCCTTGTTGCCTGATTGGTTCCTTTTTCCTGATTGGAACAAAGTATGATGAGGCAGCACTGCACCCAGGAATCCATCAGCAACCCCCATGAACAATCCTTACAGGCAGTCACAACAGCTGTGAAAACCCAACGAGTCCCTGATAATTTCCATAAATTCCATAATTTATGACTTTAGACTAGTACTCTTTAACCTTTGACATTTGTATACACTTCATATTAATAATTAAACTGATTTTACAGATGAAATAGTAAGGTAGTTGAAATAGTTTGCTTACAGCTACACCTCGATGCTCAGTGTGCCTTCTGGAAGTCCTTAGCTCATTCGGGGCTTGTGATTCCTAGTGGCTCAAACTTCACACACTAGCTGCACAATGATATACTTAACTGTGGAACCAGCTTCTCACAGGCTCAACTGAAAGAAAACTGGAACTCCTCCGGACTGAGGCTGCCCTTCACGGCGAGTTTCCCATTATCTTTTAACCAGGCAGTCTAGATTTCCCAGGTCAGGGCAAAAGCGCCCCCAAATACTTGTCAGCAGTTTTCAGTGGAGGAAAAACTGCAGTTGAAGCACCTCCACCGAGAACTCTGGGCAGTCAACCCGCTTAGATTTAGTGTGTGTAACTTGACGAACTGGCGATCCCTGGCTCCTTCGCTTTCCTGGGGTGCTTTAAATCTTTAAATGTCAGCTACGGCTCATTCCTTTTTGTTTATTTAAATGAAGAATTTTTTTTCAATCACTTTTTCCACTTCATGGCTGGCTCCTTTTTGGATCAGGGGAATAAAAATAACGATGTCAACCAGGAGCCAAGCTTTTTGTCGAAGTGGGAAGAAAGAGCCCTACTCAGGACCACAGACGTCTGGAAGGATCTGCCTTAAAGCAAAGCTTTCATTTCACCCCTCCGCTTCTTTCCCCTTTTCCGAGCTCTGAAAGGAAGGAGCGATTCGTAGGAAAGTCCTCAGCGTGCACCGCACACCCGGGGCCCCGCCACCTGTCGGGTTGGCAGGGACCGCGCAGGCGAGGCGGGGCTGGACTGGCGGCTCAAGGGGCGGCGGGGAAGGGCGCGGCGAGTCGGACAGCCTGGAGGACCCGGACGCGGCTGAACCCCCGCGCGCTCCTCAGCTCTGCCGCCGCAGCCTGGGGACCGGGAGGGGAGAAAGAGGAAGGGCGGGCGGGCAGGAAGCGCGGCGGCGCCGAGCCCGCGTCTTACCTGTTGATCTTGAGCGCGAAGGCGCGGCGCTCGGCGCTGGGCAGCGTGGCCATGGCTCGACCGCCTCGAGGCTCGCGCGCTGCGGGGAGACGGGGCCCCGGCTCCGCACACTAGCTGCGGCGCCCGCCGCCAGCCTCATCTGTCAGGCGCGCCGGGAAACTTCCGCATTTCCACCTTCGCCGCGCAGCTCTCGGGGGAGGGCCCTGCACCGCCGCCCGGCCTGGCACGCACCGGCGGCGCGCGCTCCCCCCGGCTGACCTCAGGCTGCGAGGAACGCGGGCCGGTGACCCGGAGACCACGGAGCGCAGGCCGGAAACGCCATCCGTCCGGAGCCGTGAGCCTGCCAGGGACTGTGGCAAACGCGGGCAGCCCGCGCCTTCCGCCCGCCGGGCACGACTGGCGAGGTACAGAACCAGGCCTGGGTTCTTGGGGATGGGCCTTAGGGCCTTATTAAAGGTTGACACCGGTCCTGGCAAAAGACACTTAAAAAAAAAAAAAAAAGTGGAATTCACAGGACACGCATCAACTTTTTCCCAGAGAGTTATCATTCCTGAAACACTATCAGAATGGATCCATTCAAGGAGTAAATCTTAGGAGTTCTATGTTCTCTTTTTACAACCAAAGTTTTATCTCAAAACTTTTCCCTAGGGAGACACTATGCACAGCCTTGTCATCCATTGTATCTCGACTGATTTCAGTTGCATACTAAGAAACAGTCAAGTCCAGCCTTGACTCAAGGAGGAAATCAGGAAAGGTCCCCAAACTGACTGGGATGGAAGAGCCTGGGCTTATTTCAAGTCACTCGCTTGGTCCAAGTTGTGCGATATTAGCACTCACTATATAATTCTCAGTTTGTCAACTTGCCTTTGAAAATACAGAAGAGATGTATTTTTGCTTCAAAGCTGCAGTGTCCAGATATGGAAACCACAAGCCACATGTAGCTGCTGACTACTTGAAATTATGGTTAATCTGAAATGAGATGGCTTGGAAAATATACATTGAATTTCCAAGACAGTAACAGGAAAAGAAAAAAAAAGAAAAGAAAAATGTTTTAATAATGTTTGCGTTGATTGCATGTTAAAAATGATGCTTTGGATCTGTTAAGTGAAGAAACATTAAAGTTAACTTCACCTGTTTGTTTCTCCTTGTGTTAAATGTGGCTTGCATAAAATAAAATGTAAGAATACCTATGTGGCTCACATTTGTAGGCCATATTGCATGCTTACTGGACAGCACTGCTCTAATACAACTTAATTTGTAACCTAATACTAAAATATGTGTAGACCAGATGTCTCTTTGGGCAGCCTTCTTCTTCTGGTTTTGGCTGTGTAGGTGGTTCAGTAAATCTTCACAGAGCTGGTTAGGTAACCCTTTCCCACCCCCAGTCAGTGCCCTTTATGCATGTAAGACTGTGCATAGCATAACATTACATAGACTACAAAAACAGACTGAAAGAGGATGAGGCTTTTTAGAAAGCTATTCTGATACTCCAAACCTGTAATCCTAGCTACTTTGAAGGCTGAGGCAAGATCACAAGTTCAAGGCCTGCCTATGCTACATAGTGAGTGCAAGGCTAGTCTGGTCAACTTAATGAAACCATGTCTCAAAAGAAAAAAAAATGTAAAAGGTCTAAGACTATGACACAGTAGTAGAGTGTTTGCCTAACGTGCCCAAGGCCCTGGGTTCTTTTCTCAGTGCCAAAATATTTTTAAAGACTCTTTAAAAATATTGTTTCCTACTTAACAGAGGTCTAAATATATCTATTACATTGGAATGAGAAAATATAAGTGCTTCTTCAGTCTGGAAACAATGAATACTTAATTGAAAAGTCTTTACACCAGAGCCGCCTTTAGTCCAGTGGGTACTAAGTTTTTCAGATGAACTTTTCTGAGCTTTTAAATTTTATGGCATGTGCTTTTGTTTTTATTTACTTATGCCTGCATGTATGTGTTCCTGTCATGCAGTTCTCTCAGAGGACAGAAGAGGGCATCAGATCCCTTGGAACTGGAGTCACAAAAGGTTGTTGGCCACCATGTGAGTACTGGGATTTGAACCTGGGTTTTCTGCAAGAACAGCCAGTGTTCTTAATGGCTGACCCATCTCTCCAGCCCTGGAATGCATTTTAATATAGAGAAAAATACTAATTTCTATACAAACACAAGTAAAATGTAATGAGAACATCTCAAATTTTCAGAGTTTTCCATTAAGGAAACTTATTTTGGATGGTAAGTAGTATATCATAAAGCCTTGCATCCTGCTTCACATCATGCTACATTCAATTTAGTATTTGATATCTAAACATAGAGTACAGACCAGCACCGTTGTCCTCCATGTCGTCAATTCATGCTTAGAGATAGCTTTCCTTAATTGTCACAAAAATCACTCATCATGAACATGCTGTCTATGAAGTTAGCCATAAGCCCATTTTCTAGTTTTATGTCTTATACATATTTACAGATCACTAGCAAACTTCAGAATAACCCACTCAAGTGTCCCCCTCTTTCTCACTGTGCTTTTCCCATCATTTCTCTGTCCAAAGCAAACTCCGGAAGCGTTCGTTCCTTACTTGCTGGCCTCTCTTGGCCTTCCTTTCTCTCTAGACCTTCATATCATTCAGTTTAGTTTTTCCTTTTTACAAAATCTCACTCTTGATGTCTATGACCAACCATGCATCGATTATCTTAAATTCTCCTTTAGGTTTACCCATACTTTATCTTTACCTTCCCAGAAAGTAGGTAGCTTTACATGACATCTTGCCTATATTATTTTTTAAAATATTTTATTATTTTTATTTTATGTGTATGAGTGTATTGCCTGTGTGTAGGTGGGTGCACCCATGTCCTGCCATGCCTACGAGGGTCAGAAGAGGGCATTGGATCCCCTGGAATGTCAGCCGCCATGTGGGTGATGGGAGTACCCAGGTCCTCTGCAAGAGCAGCCAGTTCTCTTAACTGCTGAGCCATCGCTCCAGCCCCTTACTACATCATTTAACAAACAATTAAATAACACCTGGCCAGGTACTATTCCAAGTCCTTTACAAATTAATCAGTTAATTAATTCATAACAACCACTAAGTAATACTATTATCCCCACTTTGCAGCTGAAGAAACTGAGGCTCAGAAAGGGTAGAGTGACTCATCCAAGATCACAAAGCAGTGAGGGCAGAGCCATTTCCGGTTATAAAGATCTGTCTATTGCCTGAATATTTCCACTTAAACATCTTCAAACTCCACAAATATAAAACTAAAACTCTCCATCTCCCCTACCCAACCAGAAGCTAGCTGTCCCTCTATAATCACCCATTTCTGTTACTGGCAGTACTTCCCATTTCTTGGGTTTCAGACTTTGGAGTTGTCTAAGTAAGGGAAAGTGGTAAGATTGGGCTATAGCTTCAGCTCTTGGCTCACTATGATCCCAATCATACCTTCTTTGGATCAGAGTCCTTTATCCTCTAGTCCATCTGTTCACACCTCTCTGAGCTTCATGAATGTGCCAGCTCTAGCTTCTTCCTCACCCTTACCTTTCAGATCTAATCTCCTTCCAAGAGTTGCCATTTATTTAAAAAAAAAATGTCACTTCTAGACCAGGCATGGTGGTGCATACCCTTAATCCCAGCACTTGGGAAGCAGGTGGAGCTCTATGAGTTTGAGGCCAGCCTGGTCTACACAGCAAGTTCCAGGCCAGCCAGGACTACATAGTGAGAACCTGTCTCAAAAAAACAAAACAAAACAAAAACAATAAAAACTCCTTTAATCCCAGAACTGGAGAGGCAGAGGCAGGTGGATCTTTGTGAGTTCAAGTTCAGCCTGGTCTACAAAGTGAGTTCCAGGCTAGCTAGGGCTGTAAGTTAGACCCTGTCTCAAAACAAGCAAACAAACTAATAAATAAAACGTCACTTTTCATAACTATATTACTATTCTCACTGCCTCCATTCTGACTCAATAAGTTAATGTTAGGATAACAAAAGACAGATTTTAAGTGTCTTCCCTGTATCCTTTCCTCATCCTGGTCCAACTGGACTCTGCTTCTGGGTTGTTTAATAAAATATTTTATCATGGTTCCCTTGCCAACAACCTTTAGTGGTTCTTGGTAGCCTCTGTGATCAAGCGTGATCACAGATCATCTCACTGGCTTATAGGCCTGCATCAGTCAGAGCAGGGCGGATCTCTGAGTTGCCACTAGAGAGGACAGTGTTCCCCTCTTCCCAGGCCTCCCTTGTTTCTGTTATTCTTCCTATTGTCCTCACCCCACATCACCTCCAATCTCTCTCCATCTTTCAGTGTTTGAGATATTTTATCATGTCCCACCTCTGCCTGAGGGAGAACTTCTTTCAGCTTGCCAGCACTCTCAGTTGGTTAAGAAATATAGATCATTGCCAGGAAATATAGCCTAGTAGAATGCAAGATCCACTTGGATAGGTCTATAGAGAAAACTGCGGCTGTTTGTACATCTCCCTTTTTCCAAAAAACCACTTCATAATCTCCCAAGATCTCCCCAGACTGTGCTCAAATGTCACCTTCCACGACCACATATTTGACATTTGAGATGGCTCAGCGGTTAAGAATATTGGTTGTTCTTGCAGAAGACCCAGGTTCGAATCCCACATGGCAGGTAACAACTGTCTATAACTCCAGTCCCAGGGAATCTGACAGCCTCTTCTGACCTCTGTAGGCATTGCACGACACGGGTGCATTTACCTATGTGCAGGCAATACATGCATACACATTAAATATATATATATATATATAAAGCCCTGTTGCCTTGCCTCATGACACTCACTGACCATTTTTCAGCCTTGTTCTCCAGATCCCTATCACAATCTAATATACTGTATTTACAATGAAAGGTTAAGCGAACTTTCAATGAAACAAGAGTCTAGTAAAAGGATAATATACCTTGCAGGGAACAAGGCAGGCAGACTAGGACATTCACTAAATACTTGTTAAAATGAACCTGGGTGAATGTGGCCAAGTTTCCCATGTCTTTTAGAAGGAAGTAAGATCATTATGTGTTATTCTCTTGAGTATTTTGATTTTCATTTTTATGAATGTTTTCCAGCTCTGCTTTGTATTTGTTTCTTAGATTATGAAATCAAACCAGCACATAATATATTTAAATACTTTCAATATAGGATTTAGACCACATCCAAATATGGAATGCTATTTCATATTCTGCAGAAATACTCATTTTCTAGTCTTTTGTAACTGAAAGGACTCTGGATTAATTCATGAATGAATGCGTGACTTCCCTCATTATCGTTCATGTACCTTCTAACTATTCTCCGAACACTCTCCAAGTGGTCACTACAAGTCA